TTAGAGGAGGAGAGAGGGAGGGAAGGGAGGAAGGTATGGGTGGATGGAGGGATGGATGTGTGGTGAGGTGGTGGGCGGTGTGGTGGAGATTTGTTTGTATTTGTCTTGCTCAGGTGGAATGTCGCCATTGGCATAGTGGAAGGCAGAGATTTTGTGTGGTTTGGGGGCAGGACTTTTGTGAGGACCCTCGAGTGCGAGTAATTGTTGTCGCTGTTGTTTTTGAGTCGCAAGTGTATTGGTGTAGTAGTAGTAGTAGTAGTCGTGTTTCAAATGGAAAGTGTTGTTTGGATGGGATGCAAATGTTCCCAAGGGGGCAGTGAAGTGGTTGTTTAGGGCGTTGGAGGGGGGCATTGAGAGGTGGCGGTTGGTCATTTGAGACGTAAAGTGTGACAGCTAGTCGTGACAGAGTTGGTACCTTGACAAGCACAAGATGGTGAGCTTCATATTTTGCGTTGTGGTTGAGCGTGCTTAATTAGTGGTTGGTGCGAGGACTCGGTTGATTAGACGTTGATATTGCGTGGGGGCGGCATTGATGGTGGTGCGGGTGGTGGTGGTGGTGGTGGTGGTGGTGGTGATGGTGTTGGTGGGAGGAAGGTGGGAGTATAGAGGTAGGCAGACGGGTGGGGATAGAAGCAGGGGGAGGGAGGATGAGAGGAAGGCTGAGGAGGAGACATTGGTTTTGCTGTTGTTATTGTTTGAGTTGAAAGTTGAAGTTGCACTTGTTTGCGTAAATGTGTCCGAGTGAATGCAAAGTGCATAGGTGTGAGCAGGGTGCGGGTAGAGACGTGTCAGAGGGGAGATTTCAACAAGCTTGTCTGAATCGCTGACTGACAGTGTGGGTGGAGGTGGGTTGCGAGTGCTAGGAGGGAAGGTTTGGTGAATCGTTTGCGTCAGCGGTTACGAGTTGAGCATGAGTGTTGCGTTTGTGGTGGTTGTAGAGTGTGATGCGAGAATTTGGCGACACTTGTGTGTGAATGTGGTTGTTTGGGGGGATGAGTGAAGTGGATGTACGGTTGATTGTGGTGCGGCCTTTGTGGTTGTTGGGTGAAGTTTGATTGGTGGTGATGGGAGGTGGTTTGCGTTTGCGCCTCATCGGCGGAGGAGGGATGCGGTGTATTGTGGGAGGAAGGAGGGGGTGGGGTGAGTTTGTGGCTTTCTCAGTAGTGTTTGGTTGGTGGTCTTAGCATATTACTGGTGGATTGGTAGTAGGGAGGGTGGGATGGTCTTGAAGAAACGTAGATGTATGCTGGCCATCGTCGTGGTGAGGTGAGTGGTGCGAGAAGGCTGTCAGTCGGTTGAGTGTGTCTGTGAAGGCAGAGGTGTGGAGGCGCATTGCATGCCTTCCCTCCCTCTCTCTGCATCAGCAGGGAAGGGGAGATGGTGTGGGGGGAGAGAGAGAGAGAGGGGCTGTGTTCCTTTGGCACAGCGTGCGGTGTGAGCCACACGATGCTTTTGCTTTGGTTGTTTTTTTTCCTTTTATTTTAATTAGTGAAATGTGTTAACGCTGAGTGGAATCGGCATGTTGG